CGGTGGAGCAATATTTGTCCTAGTGAAAGCGAACTGTTCTCTGTTTGGCACTGTTAAACATGAAGCTATTAGGCATGTTTTTATAGACGATTGCGAACTATTCTTGATTATCATGGTTGTCAGTTGGATGGCTTCTTGGTTGGGGGTTTTGTATGCCTATGCCTTTTGTATTTAACTGTTGCTTTTGTGTTTGAAAATGAAGGAAACTTCAGTTATGAAGATTTTACCGTTAATCGATCTATCTAAACGCCACATTGACCCTATTGTTGCGATTGATCCACACACCATTGCACAGTGGTCCAGAATGGGAATTTAGCTGGAAAGATGGATTTCGAGCCTGAAGTTGAAACATTAGAAAAAAAAGCTTCTTCTACAAAGTTGTTCCTTACAGTTAAGCCCTCATTTGAATATGTAGTAGTACTATATTCTAGAATTTTTCAGAACTTCCATTTTCTTCTCGCAGTTTGTTGAAATTATCAGCATTTCCTTTAAGGACACTATTGATGGAATCAATTTTCCTTATTATTACCACTTCGCATTGTCACGGGCTCACATTTGATTGTTGTATGGCGAGATCAGTGCCAATGAAAACACGAAGTGGATGGATTGCATAAACTTTCACCTTCATTCCTCAGAACTTATTCAAAGCTCCAACAATATTGTTGAAGATAATGGAACTGCACGGAAGATCTCCAATATTTTGAGAAGTTCAGAATAAAACTTGATCCACTTTATATTCATTGGACTGAGTTCTTCGATTTGCTGGTGATCTCTGAATACTTCCTGATCAACGTGCAGTTTTGGGAGAATATCTTCACTATAATACTTGATCAACATGAAGCCTTGAAAAATATCCAGAGGCCTTTATTGAAATCTTAGATCAGCTGGAGATCTTTTAAGTACTTCCTGACCTATCTGCTATCTTGAGAGAGCCAATTGAATGTTTGACCAGTTTAAGATTTTCAGATTTCCTGATCAACCAGAAATCACTAATATCTGATCAACCAGCATCTTGAATTTTATGATCGGTTGCATATCTTATCATCCTTTAAATACTCTCTTATCATACTTCCGTCTTGGAATGATGTCTGAAAGACGTCATTTGAATGTTTGGACAGTTGCAGATCTTCAGAACACTACTTGATTTACTTGAAAAGACATGAATATTATCCAGAGGACTTTATTGATACCTCATCGAAAATCCGTGAACATCCACAAAGTTATCTAACATTTCACGACGCTTCCTGAACTTATACGAAGATTCCTATACTGCCATGTTACTTTTGGACGTTTTTCACTTTTGTTCATAAAACAGTACTTTTTTAGGTAAACTTTCGAATGAAAATAGAAAAACATGTTATTTGTTTTGGGCTTATTTAAAAACAACATCAAGTTTAATTGTCCCATGTTGAATCTTTTATTGACGGATCGATTTGAGTGCACGAATGATCGAAACAGAATTTATATGATCAAAAGAAACTCAATGAGTCATTTCGGGCAGTAGAAGCTTTATTTTATGATGAAAAATATTAAGAGAAACGGGAATTCATATTAAAACATCAGATTATAGTTTAGATTTCAAACTATAAGAGTAATAATATTCAATTGATAAGAAGCAGTGTAATGATCTTGAAATAATTCAAAGACAAAATAACATGATTTAAAATGCAATTTTACGTAGCAACGATTTTTAAACATCTTCCAATATTGGCATGATTAAAAAAGTACGTGTTATTGTCTAAAATCAACTCGAAGAAACGCAGTTAACAATGATGGCACTTTCTGTCACTTGATGTGTTCATTCATCAATTTGATAGCTGCTACCATATTTTGTAGTTAAAATAATGTTCCTGTTGACTGATTCAGAATATCCGTTGTCGAATCGTCCTTTCGTAAATTTAGTCGTTAGAATGTTCTCAATATAATGCCGTAGATGCTGTTGGATAATTCCCCGTTTTACACTACGTGCGCACCCGCGAATGGCTAGTTCGGATTATGCACTTTACCAACTTGTAACACCGGTGTGATACGATCACTAATTAATAAATCTATTTTAAGCACTACTAAACGCATTTATTATTCTAAGAAAGTGGACTGTATTTAAACAACGCGATCGAACTGAATCGATACCGGTACCGTCGGTGGTCGGGAGCTAACTGGCTATTCTCCTATCTCTATTTGCAAGTGATGCTGCGAGAGCACATCACTGATAGCCTATCGTGTCACTGATAGCCTATCTCTCGTGTAGGTACATGCAGACGATCGTGGTCACCCATTTCTCCTGGATTCCCTAATCTACAGTGATGCACACAATTATGTATCCTAGTTTCCCTAACATACCGGCCGCCTTGAGTTCACTCAAAACGAAAACATTTCAAAATATAACTATAACTACAAAAGATAAATTCAAATATATACACAGATCCTCTCTATCTCCTTCAACAACCTCGTGGAAGTCGTATCTCTTCGCGATCGGCGACTGGCCTTGACCGTCCGTCAAGCCAAACCAAACGATGACGATACTCCTAACCCAATCCGTAGATTCCGATGTTGGAAACTTTACTGACTTCGTATGTCTCCCAACCATACGCCTCTATCGCACATGCTTCCGCTGCAGGTGGAACAAACATGCTGGCCTCTGTCGGTGGAATTGACCCTCTTATGCTATTGGAGAATAAGACGGCTTGATTCCGAAACAAATTCGTTATTGGAGAGACATAACTTAACTGTCGCCCCCTGGCGATAACGGACGAACTCTCCATTGTTGCCAAAGTTTGCCCTAATGGGGGCGTAAAATGCTCAGCGGAAATTGTGGTCGTAGAAGATCAGAAGTTATCTCAGAGGATTTCTGTTGAGCTTGCTTGAGTTTGAGCTTGATTGACCGCCCACGGTTGCTACTCTGTTAATGCCAGATCAGCTGTAATTACACAGAGAACCAATAGACGATGCTTGGGATTAGCAATCATCCTCAATGTGTAAAAACTGGTGATCTTAAATTAGGCAATACCAGCGCCGGCCGCGCCCGAACACAGGTCAAGAAAGGAATGGGAAGGATTGTGTTGACATGACACTCGCTTTGATGGAAGCCGAGAACACCTCTGCACTTCCACGAGGAATCACTGGGATGTTGGATAAGAGGGTTGGGTTTGCAGCAGGGTTCGTTTTGGTAAACGATAAGCTGAATTGATGTCCTAACGATCATATAACGCGAAGGAGCTTGGGACTAAACCCACGGTCTTCTGCTCAGTAAGCAAAAACGTTTGCCACTAGGCAGACGAGCACCTTTTTAATCACCGAGTTGCTGTTATTACCATTTAGTCATATTAACAAATAAAACGATTGACGAATCTTCAATGTGGATGGGCCTGAGATTAGACTCATGATGTTCTGCTCAGTAAGCAAAAACGGATGCTCTAAGGCCACCGAGCCCCTCATATCACATAGTACCGTTGCTCAAATTTGTGTATCCATTCAAACCCGGAACCAACGACAACAACGGGTTTCGCAAAATACACGATACACAAGCGATTTTACCATAAATCTCTTTGATATGTAAGGACCTGGGACCGCGTTTTTCTGCTCAGTAAGCAGGCCACTGTAACCGACGATCTTTCAAATCCGAAAACTAAAAACTACGAAAAAGTACTTAGGCCTTCATTAAGTTCCACTTTCACGCGACGTTCAATGTTTCAATTTGCTCTTTACGTATTGTTCAGGCTATAAATAGGCCCTTTTCAAAAGTTACGCGAGAAATACGCACAATCGTCGCCTACCTCGCAAAACTGGTTCCAAACGACAACAAAGGCATAAGCAACGATGGATTGTTGAACTTTGCTGGCTCCGGTGGTGTAGTGCACAGGAAAAAAAAATGTAATAACGATCTGTCTCTGCCTTATCTCAAATACAAAATGCCAATGGTATGAATGTATCTATATATAACTTGGAAATGACGTACAATCAAATAAACCCGTAACCCACTCACTTGGTGAGGCTTCAGAATCGTCCAGTGGGCAGTGCGCTCTACACTCCAAGTTCCCTTTTTTCAAATTTACCGCAAATTTGATATTTTACCCATTGCGTGTTGATTAGTCACAATGAAACATTGTGACAGAAGTTGAGGTTACTAGTGTATTAAATAATCTAGGTCCTATTTAGGATTATCCTATCCTATCCAAATCTGGCCAACGCCCACCCTAAACCTAAACCTGTTCTAATCCACCTGAAATGACTAACGAATGGAAGACTTTGACTACCCAGCCATGCAATAGTCTCATTCCGTGCCTTAAGGCAACTTGATGATTCTATTGCGCTCATCTTTTGGCACCACCCAGGGGAGACTTGGTCCTGTACCCAATGCTTAACTTATCTCCATTCCACTCAGCTACTCGCAATTTCTTGTGATATAGTGGGCGGAATATTATTATATGAGATAATTCAATGCAGACGTCTTTCCAAATTTGGCGGATCGACAGGTAATCGGTGAGTTACCACGATAGTTGCTATTCAACAACTCGACAACGTCCCATCGAGCTATCGATCAACTACCCTGGTTATCGCCTGGTACCTTATAGCACGATGCTAGGAGGCGAACCGGAAGAATCTATGAGCTACCTCCCCCATTATCCCAGAGGATTTCTGTTGAAGAGAAAAACCGATTGGGCTCCGAACAACTTGTTAAGCTTGGAAAACGTAACTTTTAGTGCGGCCCCTGGCGATTACGGCTGAAAGCGCCGTCAGCTGCCAATGTGCCCCTACTGGGGCCATACTTATCTGAGTTTTCCCGATGTGGTTGTCGATCCATGGGAGAATACATCTCTGACGACCGTCGATTGTTGAAGTATTGGAGATGATCCTGGAGGAAGGGAATTCGATTGGCTTCCGAAATGCTACTTATTTCTAATAAACGTAACTTATACTGCGGCCCCTGGCATAAAACGACATGGACTGTCGGTTACCGCCAAATTTGCCCCATATGGGGCCATACTTAGCTGTGTTGATCTTCAGTGATCTACGATGCCGCAAGGTATCAGAGGTGGATCCGTATTATGGTTGATTGCATGCGGATGAACGAAGGAACGGATGATCTCTCCAGCCAAGCATATGAGCAGCAGGTTATGACTGTCGAGGGAGAACAGATCAGTATGTTCCCGGATACACAGAATATATAATACGTAACTTATAGGTTGCCCCCTGGCAACAGCAGCGGGGCTACACCGCAAGGTGCCAAAAGTGCCCCAATGGGGGCGATAATACTTATTGTTGTACTGGATCTACTGCGATTCCTCGACATCCAGTTGATTATCTCGGATGGGAAGAATACATATCTTCGAAATAGCCCGACGATAAGAGCCATCCTTCGTACGAACGGTGACAACTCTCACGTTCCCGTCTGGCCCTGGGTGAGTCTCCATGACGCGTCCCAGCTTCCACTTGAGAGGTGGAATGTTGTCCTCCTTCAAAAGAACCATTGTTCCAACGTTCAAATTATTTCTTTACCTTGTCCATTTGTTGCGACTCTGCAGAGTTGACAAGTAGTCCGTTGACCAGCGCTTCCAAATCAGTTGACTGTAGTTCTGAACACGTTGCCATCTATTGAGCCTATTCTCTGGTAGATCATGGAGACTTGGTTCGGGTGCTGCGGTGAGTGGGCGTTGGATCAAGAAATGCCCGGGAGTCAATGCTTCCAAGTCACTGGAGTCATTACTGAGAGGTGTCAGCGGTCTCGAATTTAGACATGTTTCAATCTGCGTCACAACGGTATGCAGTTCATCATACTTCAGCATTCTGTTGCCGATTACTCTCCTCATGTGCCCTTTCAGCGATTTGACTGCGGCTTCCCACAAGCCACCAAAGTTGGGTGATCTGGCAGGGATGAATTTGAATTCGATCGAATCTTGAGCAGCCTCCATTGACACCTTTTCTTGGAACTGTTGTTGACGAAACATTCCATGCAATTCACGCAGTTCTCTTTGTGCTCCCACGAAATTGGAGACGTTGTCGCAGAGTATCAACTCCGGTCTTCCACGTCTGGCAACAAATGACCGAAGAGCAGCAAGAAATGCCTCGGTGGTGAGGTCCATCACGACCTCAATGTGGACGGCTTTGCAGACTAAGCAAACGAACAAACAGAGATAGCATTTCACCGGAGCGCTCTTCCGGGTGACAGGCTGCAGTTCGAATGGTCCACAATAATCGATACCCACTCGTTGGAAAGCAGGAGCTGGTGATACTCGTTCCAACGGAAGATCTCCCATCAACTGATCATGGACGCGTGGTTTCACCCTGAAACACTTTACGCACTCGTGCATTACCTTCCTGGCTAAGTTTCTGACGCTCAACGGCCAAAACCTCTCTCGAACACACGATATCATCAACTGCGGTCCTCCGTGCAGCAATCGCCGGTGATAGTCGACCAAGATGAGCTTCGTGAGTGGATGATGGCTATCCAAAATCATCGGATGTTTCCTTCCTCGCGAAACAGGAGCATTTCCGAGCCAGCCGCCAACGCAGAGTATCCCATCAACCATCACAGGATTCAGAGCATGCAGCTTCGACGAAGGCCTAACTTCGCCCTTAGCCGCAAGGTTTGATAATTCCAACGGAAAACATTCCGATTGGGCTAGCTGCACTAGGAGAATCAAGCATGAATCATGTTCATCAGCTGTCAGCAATCCAGTTTTCCTCTGCAACCGATTTCTTGGTCGACAGTTGAAGGAAAAACGGCGTATCCAAGCGGTCAGACGAACAAGGTTCAGTAGAGACGAACGTAGCGTGAAAATCTCACTTGGAGGCAGAGTCTGTAGGACTGCTGACACTAGTGGTCTCTCCTCCAGGATTACCGAATCGAACTGCTGCTCTGGAACCTGCGCGTTTACAGGCCAGTACTGGGTTTCCTTTTTCAGCCATTCTGGACCATTCCACCACAGAGAATTGCTCGTTATCTGAGCTGGAGTGGTCCTCTCGAAATTATGTCAGCGGGATTCTCGATTCCCGGAACGTGGTTCCAGATTCCACCCTTTGTCACATGTTGTATCTCTGATACACGATTGGCCACAAAGACCTGCCATCTAGACGGGTGTGACGAAATCCAGAATTTTACAATTGTAGAATCGATCCAGAAGAATGATTTGGCTGCTATCATCATGCTGGTGGAGACAGACTCATACAGGTGCGCTAACAGTAGCGCAGCAGATAACTCCAACCGAGGTGTGGATTGCTTCTTCTTCCTTTTACTAAGGTCCTCCAACGGCGCAACCTTTGATTTGGCCATCAGTAGGTTGATCGTGACTTCTCCGTCCCGGTTCACACATCGTAAGTATATCGCGGCACCGTATGCTTTATCACTTGCATTGCTGAATCCGTGGAATTCACATGTGATTACATCTCTTCCGAACCTGATCCATCGAGGAACAGACACAGCGTCCAACTCGCAAAGATTGGTTCTGAACTCCAACCATTGTGACTGAAGCTCATCACTTAGTGGTTCATCCCAGGAGTACTTCGCCTTCCAAAGCTCTTGAAGAAATAGTTTTCCTTGGACTACTACCGGACCAACTAGTCCGTAGGGGTCGAAAAGACGTGCTATCTCGGATAGAAAAAACGATGCGTGATTGGCCCACCTGGCCTCCAATCGGGAACCTTGATCCACAGTGTGTCCGTAGCCGTCTCCCACGTGAGACCTAACGTCTTCACAGTTGCCTTCTCATCTAAATTCAGGAATTCTCGATCGTCCCGCAGATGCGAGGGTATTGCCTTCAAAATCTTCGGATTGTTGGAGTTCCACTTCCTGAGGTTGAAACCTGATCCCTTCAGGAGCTCCAGTACCTCCTTACAGAGCAGTTCGCCTTCTTCAACGGTATGAGAGCCGGCTAGCATGTCGTCAACTTAAAAACTCTTCTTGACCACCACTGAAGCTACGGGATAGCGCTCTGCTCCATCCTCAGCACACTTGTTCAGACAACGAGTGGCAAGATAAGGTGTAGATGATGTACCGTACGTCACAGTGGATAACTTGTACGTCCGCAATGGCTCCTGAACCGAATCTCTCCAGAATATCTTGTGCAGCAGCTGATCCAGTTCGTGCTGCCATACCATCCGGTACATTTTCTCTGCGTCTCCTACAACAGCATACTTGAACAACCGGAATCGTAAAAGGATGCTTCGTAGGTCGTCTTGAACGACAGGTCCCACCATCAAGACATCATTCAAGGACACACCCGAATCCGTAGAACACGATGCATTGAAAACTACTCTTAGTTTTGTAGTAGTGCTGTCTGGTTTCAGCACTGCATGATGCGGCAAGTAATATTCCGGACCAGATTCCTCATCGTCGTTTACTACCTCCGTCATATGACCCATGGAAAGGTACTCGTGCATGAAAGTCGAATACAATGCCTTCATTTCCGGGTTGGCATTCAGCCGTTTCTCCATGGAGAGGTACCGTTTCTTCGCTATCGCCTTAGACTCTCCCAGTTTCTCCAGCATATGCTTCCTTTTCGGCAATGTTACCCGAAATTTTCCATCAGGATCTCTTGTGGTTGTCTCCTCAAAGATGGCTTCACATGCAGACTCCTCGATGGACAAGCAGCTCGTCGTTCGACAGGATTCTCGTTACTTCTTCGCGCTGACGTTGACTGCAGGATTCCACAGTAATTCTCCAGAAACTCCTCCATTGCCTTGTAGGAGGGAATATTCTTCGAGCTGTGGTGGGTTTTCCACTGGCGAAGCGTATCATGGTCCAGTTTCTGGGATAGCATGAAAGCCAACAGCGTACTCCAGTTTTCCGTATTTTCACCCAGCTTCTCCAACTGTTGAAGGTTGATCCTGAACGTCGTTAGAACATGGTTCAATCCTTGAAAGCTCTCCAATTTCATTGGCGCAACAGCGAACAATGCCTTCAAATGTTCCTGTGCGATGAGCTTGTGGTTCTCGAACTTCGACTCTAGAATTCCCCAAGCGAGAGTGTAGTTGGCAGCAGTCACTTGAATTTGGTTGATCTGCAGAAGAGCATCATCCTTCAACGAGGTACGCAAATAATTGAATTTATCGATTGTACAGAGTTGATGGTTGTCCCGAAAGTTGATCCATTCCGACAGCTTTCCCGAGAATGTGGGTAGCCTCAGCTCCGGATACTTCGTCCGCGATGGCTGGCAGACCTGAACTGCAGGTTGCCGTTCAGCAACAACTCCCATATCTACGCTGCATTTCAAAAGAAGTGCCTGCTTCAGTCGAAAGTATTTATTTTCAAACTCCTTGAAAATTTCTTCATTCTCTCTCTGGCGCGTCTCAGCCATATCAATCGGCTCTGTGGCTACTTCCTCAGCTGCATTCTGCGAGCCATCGTCAACGTCGAGATCGTCTGTAAGCACTTCAATTTTTACTCTCACTTCACAGTATTTATTATACACTTCGTCGATCTTCTTTAGACGTAATTTCACTGCACTTTTATCACGTTCTTCTTGATACGAAGCCAGGAACTCCTCGATGTTCTTCAACGAAATCCACGCATGACGTTCCAGCTTCACTAGCTGTCTCAGTTCGGACACTGGCATCGTTACAAAAGACTTGCACTTGCACTTACTACGAATCACTAGCCCAAATCACTCCCGAGACCTCAAGCGATCGAACGATTGACAACTGACAGGCCAAATGTACCACCAAGTGGTAAAAACTCAATCAATTATCAGCAACGAAGGGTTCTCTATCACGAAACGAAAATCAATTATTTTATTCATGTGTTTCACTTATACATTTTTGCCAAAACTTCAGCCTTATACATTCCATAAGACAAACCACATATGTCATATAGGAATGCATAAAGGGTATGTGTGAACGCTTATACATTTCATTTGACACATGATCTTCATTAACTTTTTGCAAGGCGTCTACTTATTAGTTGACCTATACATTTGATGAATAATCAGCAATAGAAATTTGCCAAAAGGCATAAGGAGATTTCTATCCGTTTGTGCACAATTAATTTTCTTTTCGCAAGTTCCATGATCCGTAATTTCGGGATGCGTCGATCAATCGAGAAAACTTTTCACCAATTTTTTCGTCAATGAAACAGCAACAAATGCTTGTCAAACGATTTTTGTTCCAACCACCAGGTGGTGTATTAAACCGTGCGTCCAGATTTACTTTGAATCGAGCTTTAGCAAATTTCTCGGCATAACAGTCCCACCAACAATCAATACGAAACTAACGATTTCAAATTGGCTCACTGCTTGACTAGCCTATTAGTCCCAAAGAAATCGACTAACGCACCCCATTCTAGTATAAAGGGATGGTCCATTAATTATGTCACGCAAATTTGGCCCATTTTCAACACCCCTCCCCCCTTTGTCACATTTCCAGTACTACACTATGTTTGTTTTGATTCGCTATGAAAGTTTGACAGATAAAATGAGGGGTTAGTGGATTTTCCTATGTTTCGAGGGGTGAATCGATGAGCTTGGGACCGAAGATAGTACCAGAGCTGAGCCAAAAAGTTGAGCTCGTTTCTTCGGGACCTTCTGGTCTTAGAGTTACCTCTATGGCCCCACTGAATTGTTTTCGTATAAAAATAGGTTTAACTAATTTCATTTAAGGTAATTTTAAATGAAATATGAACTATACACAAACTTAGTTTAACTTATATTTCGCGATTTTCTCAGATTTTACTTTTAGAACATGGGACAGATATGCGTAGAACGGCAGTATACTTTCAAGAAGTTTCTTGAACTTAAAATCAGTTCCATGAGCTCAAAGCCTCTATGAAGTTCTCTGAACAAGTGGAATGTTCGATGAACTCCTGCAACTTCTACGAAGTTCCCAGCACTTCCAAGTCTTAAAACGTTTAATTTTACCATTACAACTGAATTTCTGCCCAGCTTGCTGAACTTGTACGAATTTCAAAAAATTCATAAAATGTTCCATAGTCATCTACAAAGTTCCCTTAACTTCTATAAACAATGCCTGAGCTTCTACATAGTTATCTGCATTTATTAAGGTTCCATCAACTTCTCCCGACTTCCGGAAAGAACCTGAACCTTTTCTAGGAATTTTCCTGAACATATTGACGAAACAAAGCTCCCAAAGTTACACAGTTTCCAACACTGATTCAAAATTTCCTGAACATTAAAACTGATGTAAGAACTCGGCACTCCCCAACTACCTACTTGGAGATCAAACATACAGCACCCGGTCGACTCAGGCGACAAGAGCAAGCTCCGGAACACCCAGGGTCGGCTAAAGGGTTATACGGTCAAAATTTGGTCAATATCGACTTGACGTAGGGTAAATGATGGCTTCGGCAGCCATCGACTGTTTTCGGCAACCACAATTTAAACGTTAATTTCGCTGTATTTTCTCACTAAAACACTTCACTGAATGTATTTAAACGATTCCTTAGTCTTTCAGGTTCAATCCTAGTACATTTTCACGACTGATAAAACCTGTTATGCCAGGTGTTTCTTCAAATGAAACATAAGCACATGAAAATACGGCTGATTTCGAGTTGCCGATAATAGAACAACTGGTTAACACACAGTTTAAACGGAAAGGTTGTCGAAGTAAAAGAGGCTGCCGACAATAGTCACACTCACCTGAGAAGTTTGGAGCGCCTTAAAAACGTTTTCAAACCGTTTTGGACAGTTCTGTCGATTGAAATGGATAGAGTAGCTAGGAGCAGATAAATATAAACAAACAAACACGTCATATGTGTGCGTGACACTGAGGAAATGCTAATAGAAGTGCGGAAGCTGCTTAGATTGCCGAGAATACGTAAATTCCCCTATTTCTTTCAATTTTGCATTTAAAAAACCTGAACACCCCTCATTTTGAAGGTGTGTGTGTGTAGAATGTTGCTCCTATTTTGATTTTGGAATTTACTCTTCAGTTGTCAAAATGCCGTCCAAGCAAGAAGAGCAGCGTATCAAAATTTTGCTCGCGCATCGCGAAAATCCGAGCTACTTGCACGCAAAGTTGGCAAAATCGCTAAAAGTTGCCAAATCAACCGTTACAAATGTAATTAAAGTGTTTGGGGAACGTTTGTCGACAGCCAGGAAGTCTGGATCGGGGGGAAATCGAAAACCGGAAGCCGCTGAGACGACAAAGAGAGTTGCCGGTAGTTTCAAGCGAAACCCTAACCTCTCTCTCCGAGATGCCGCAAATAAACTGGGTGTATTGTCTACAACCGTGCATCGAGCCAAAAAACGAGCCGGACTATCGACTTACAAGAAGGTAGTGACTCCAAATCGCGATGATAAACAAAATACGACGGCCAAAGCGCGATCCCGGAGGCTGTACACGACGATGCTGACGAAGTTTGACTGCGTGGTAATGGACGACGAAACCTACGTCAAAGCCGACTACAAGCAGCTTCCGGGACAGGAGTTTTATACGGCAAAAGGAAGGGGAAAGGTAGCAGATGTTTTCAAGCACATGAAACTGTCAAAGTTCGCAAAGAAATATCTGGTTTGGCAAGCCATCTGTACCTGTGGCTTGAAAAGCAGCATTTTCATAGCTTCCGGGACTGTCAACCAAGAAATTTACGTAAAAGAGTGTTTGAATAAACGTCTGCTGCCTTTCCTGAAGAAACACGGTTGTTCCGTACTGTTTTGGCCGGATTTGGCATCTTGCCATTACGGTAAAAAGGCCATGGAGTGGTACGCCGCCAACAACGTGTAGGTGGTTCCCAAGGACAAGAACCCTCCCAACACGCCAGAGCTCCGCCCAATTGAGAAATACTGGGCTATTGTCAAGCGGAACCTAAAGAAGACCAAAAAAACTGCTAAGGGCGAGCAGCAGTTCAAGGCAAACTGGCTTTCTGCGGCGAAGAAGGTGGACAAGGTGGCTGTACAAAATCTGATGGCAGGGGTCAAGCGTAAGGCCCGGCAATTCGGATTTGGAAAAGCGGAAGCCTAACTGAATATTTTTCCTGAATTTTATACTAATTGAACTTGAAAAAGAAATTTAATTTGATTTTTTAAATAAACGTAATAAACCGTTACACGCGTTTTCCCTTGACCAAATTTTGACCGTATCACCCTTTAGCTACCGGGTAATCAGAGGGTTTCGCGATACAAAAACGAAGAACTTTCACTATTCTTTAAATGTATTTATTCGTCACTTTCTGTATTATGTGCGTGTTGTTCTGTGTTCATAATTTCGTGTAATATGTGTCGTATAGCCTAATTGCGTTGTTTACTGTACCGGTACATACCACTGCTGCCGTTGATGGTGAATAGGGATGGCCGACACAGTGACTCCTGTCCTACTGTGCGGCCGGAACTCTCGCCAGATTGGCGAAGCGAGCGGATGACGGGCCAGCGGGCGTTGCTGGACGGTGAGATGGCAGGCGTCGTCCTTCGTTGGCACGATCGGCCGACCGTGGCAAGGCCACCTTGGTCAAGCCGAGAAGGGAAAACTCCTTTGGGATTATGGCCTACGTTTGGCCAGATAATAGTGTTTGGTCCTTGACAATTAGACTCGGAAACTGTTTCCAATTTCACGAGCCGGACAGACGGATGACGGATGACCTTTTTAAGGTCCAACATAAAGAGGTCCTGAACGATAAATTTCCCTAGCGTACACTAGCTGTTGCTGGGGGGGAGGCTCCTGGTTCTCGTTCAAAAACACCAATCACTGCACTTAGCTAATTAAAATGCGTCTTAGCACACGGACGCCTGATATTAAAAGAGGCCGATCTTGGGCAATGGCCGTTCTTTCTCCCAATTTTCCTTCATCCCGTTATCCTATTTTTGTATGGTTGTTTGTAGCTCTATGTTGGACATAACTTAACGGTACAACATTTTCACAGCTTTACAGAACCCTATTACTTCTTTTGTATACTGCTGTTCTTGCACAAGAAACTTGAAGGTTCTGAATATTTAACATAAATGACACAAACCTATGAACTTGTGACCAAACGGCTATAACAACTACAAATATTGCCGAACTTATAAAAAATTTCCTGTTCTTTTACAAAATACCCTCTAATAACCTTCTACAAAGTTCACGGCACTTTTATAAAGTTTCTTGAACTTTTAGGATTTTCGATGATTTTCTGCGAAGTTTCGTGAAGTAACGTTTTACCCTTCTTACAAAGAAGGGTATAGATATCACTTGAAAAACCGACTATCGATCCGAGGCCCGGAGGGCCGAGTGTCATATACCATTCGACTCAGCTCGACGAGATCGGAACATGTATGTGTGTGTGTGTGTATGTGTGTATGTGTGTGTGTATGTAACGAAATGAATGCGCTCACGTTTCTCAGCAACCGCTCAACCGATTTGGACAAACTCGGCGCCAAATGATAGGTCTTGGGGTCCCATTGAACGCTATTGAACGGTTTTGGAATCGGTGAACCGGTTCCGGATATATGGCCGGAATAAGATCCGGTGAATATGGGCCTTCACGCTGGATTTAACGGAAAACGTATCAAAACCATCATGCGACACATCAAATTACTACAGAATTCAAAAATAAGATCACTGCAAGTCGTGTTAAGTGTTCCAGACCACATTGGACACACTTGGACATGTTCCGGGTACCCCGGGGAAGTTGCTT